GTACTTAAATGAGGCCTCAACAAGCTTTTTGACCTCAATTTCTTCCCTTAGAAAATGGAAATAAAAATTATACTTATGGAGCCAGTGAGATGTTCAGTGGGTGAAAGCACTTGCCACTGAGCCTGGAGACCTGAGTTCGGTTCCCAGAACCACATGGTGGAAGGAGAGAACTGACTCCTCCAGTAAGTTGTCTTTTGACTTCCACATATCTGTCATGATATATGTGTATGCACACTCAAGTGCAAAGGAGCATGCACACAATAAATAAGTAAATAAATAAATAAATAAAATTTAAAAGATATATTTGGCCAGTGTGGTGGTATGCATGTGGAGTTCCAGTTACTCGGGGAGCTGAACAGGAGGATCACTTGAGCCCAGGAGTTCAAGACCAGCTGGGAAACATAGGGAGATCCTGTCTTTAAAAAAGAAACTTTAGGACTGGAGGGATGATTCCATCAGTAAAGTGCTTGCCTTGCAAACACAAGGACCTGGGTTCAATCCCCAGAGCACAAGTAAAAATGCCAGACATAACGGTATGCTCTCATAATTCCAGCGCTGGGGAAGTAGAGAAAAAAAGAACCCTGGGGCTTTCTGGCCAACCAGTCTAGCTTAACCGGTGAACTGCAGCCCAATGAGAGACCCTGTCTCAAAGAAGGTAGAGCATATTCCTGAGGATGACACCCAAGGTTGTTCTCCAGGACCAACACATACACATAACACACACACACACACACACACACACACACACACACACACACAAATATACACACACACACATATATACCACCTACACCCACTCACTACAGAAAATATATACTATCACACAAGTACAAATGCATACACATAACACACACACACACACACACACATATGCACACATGCACATACATACAATGCACACACAAACACACTTGAAAAAAAAGAAACTTTAAAACTTTTGACAAAAGACAAAAAAGCCTGATGTTTATCACATAGACTTTTTGTGAGGATTAAATGGGTTTATACAGGTTGAGTGCTTAGAATAGCCATTGACACTATGACAAGTACATATAAATAGGGACTATCATCTCCAGCATTGCAAAGCCAGAACTAGACTTTTTAAAGGGGCCCCATTTTTCTCTGCCAACCCCATTTCTACTTTCCTCACCCCTTAAAGAAACTGTCCTCTTCAAAGGCCATCTTTGGAAAAACACTGGCTCTCAGTACATCTCACTTCCTGGTAACAGAATGAGAAAGCATTTTCCCGATAAGGCAGTGACTCGCTGGCTCTCGTAAATCATTCATTGCTATGCCAGCTTTTCCCCATGGACTGTTACTCCTGGGCCCTTGTAAGCTTTAACAATCAACATTTAAAGGGGCTCCAGGGCCAGCAGTGAGGCCAGGACAGGTGAAGGCCAAAGCATTTGAGAAGCACAGGAAACCTCTTGCTGGCTAATATCCAGATAGAGAGGACAGGATTATGAGTGAACAGTAAGACTAGTCAGTCCATGGCTGACCACATCCCCTGGCTATGGCCCTGAACTCCCTTATCCCATGTGTATGCAGATGCTACCTCACACACCTGTCTGCAGTGGATTCAATAAAGTATATGTGGTATGGTGGGGCGAACAAAGCACTTTTCAGCACTTTCACAACCAGAGTGAGCTGGTCAGGATGAGTGGAGGCTGGTCAGTGGGGCTGGGGTATGAGCTGAAGCTTTCTTTCTGTGTGATCACTGTGTTTCTGCTTATATGTGCATAGCACTATATAAACCATACCCCTTCCATTATCTCACTGATACCACAGTCCTGGTAGTGTGTACTGACATCTCTGAATGTCGATGCTCTCTTTTACTAATGAGCAAACTGAGGTGATGTACCTCAGCAATCCATATCAGCCAAGCATGGATGGAGTCAGTTCCTCTGCAGTCAGGCCAGTGTTTTTCCACTGACTTCAGAAAAGGAAGTCAGAAGCTCCCTGGACTCCACCTCAGGAACACTAATAATATTTGTTACATGCTGAAGAAAATGAAGCCATGCACTGTCTTCACATCCCTGCCAAATGCCTTGCAAACTGCTCCCAGAGCCCTGAACAGAAGTCAGGAGGGTCAAGGCTGACCCACTGTGGGCCACAGGGGAATGTGGGAGATATGATTCTGTTCAAATCCTCGAAGCCCCACATCAGGTAACACCAGTGGTAAGACAGATCCGCATTTGTTCAGAGAACTCAAGGTAGCAGGAATATCGGTAATGCCCTATCCCCACCCCCAAGAAATCAGACTGTGAAAGAAAAAGCATTTGTTATACTTCTGGGAGTGGCTTTCCAAAAAGCTCTCATCTCAGGCCAGGTCTGAGTCTTGATGGAGATGACCACAGGCTTCTGGGATGATTTTTTAAAACCCATTTGTCACATTGACATTAATCCTCTGGTTAACAATCTTCTGCTCTAAAGCAGGATTGGTGCTAAGCAGCGAGGAAAGACAGCTTGTAAGCTGTTGGGTTTTAAGGTACCTCAGTGAGGTTAGCAAGTCCTAGAAGCCACCTTCTCCAAGGGGGTGGGGAACTGTGGCAAGGATCCCCTGCTGTGAGCCTGATTCCTTCTTTCTTCTACCACTCATCATCTTATCCACTCCCCAGCATCCTTCTGCTCCCTCTACCCTTCCCTCTCTGTAATACTTGTTTTTACCTCTTATTGATTTTCATATTTAAGGAAAATCCATACTTGATTCAAAGCAACTGAGTCATCACTGTGTTCAGATGAAATGCACTCACAAGGTACGTTACTTCTTGCTGCTTCTTCAAACTGGCTCCTGGCTGCTCCTTTCTGCTGCTCTGCCCTTCTCAGTAGTCTTCAGGCTCTCTGCCTGTTGCCCTCAACAAGACTGGTTCCTTCACTCCCTCCTCCTCAACCTGTCCACCTGCTTCTATGTTTGCCTACAAGTACACGTTCACTATTGGAGGTCTATAATTAAGACATTCGGAGCAGTCAGTGAGGACTTGGTACAGTCATCCACAGGAGAGAAATATTGATCTGACAAATTCTCACAAAAGTATAGTTCTGGCCTTCCTGTCCACTCTGGGTAGCACCCAAGGAATGACATCAAGATGACATACCAATGTGGCTAGATGGACCCCACATTCAGTTTCATGATGGGCAAGTGGGCAGTTCAGTCTTTGATGCCCATTTGTATGTGGGCTGCATAGTCTTCTGTCTTTGGAACTCGAGGGCCAAGAAGCTCAGCCAGCCCCACCCAGGGAGCACCCAAGAAAGGACAGGCTCTCACTATGTAGCCCAGGTTGGCTTCAAACTCATGGTCCTTTTGCCTTTGCCTACTGAGTGCAGGGATTACAAGTATGTGCCATCCATGCCCAATCACAGTGCTTCTTTGTTTTTTAACATCAGGCTCCCCTCTGTAGGCTGGGGGTACTCTGAAATGTAAGAAAGGACTCCAGTTGGTGAATGTCATTAGATGTAGTCTCCTAAACTCTGGATTTATTGTGGATGTATTATCGTGAGGCACCAAGCACATTACCTACACTACCTCATTTAATCCATCCAACAACCTTACAAGACAGGAACTATTATCCCCTTCACAGATGAAGAAACTGAGGTAGATAGAGGTTAAAGAACTTGTTCAAGTTCCGATGACTAGTAAGGAGTAGACATGGGAAGTATGTCTTAAGAGCCCACACTTTTAGCCATCAAGCTCAGAGCATAGGACTCATCTCAGGCATAACTGTATCCCTGTCACCCCTCCAAAGGACAATGCATTCCTTTCATGGACAAAATTATATTACAGTCATTTTTCTCTGATGATCTGGGAATGCCACTGTCCACTTTTTAATGTCTGGAGTGACTGGGTGGAGGCTCAAGCTTTATCCTGATGGCTCCCCACTAGCTGACTTGGCAGCAACCCCCTAAGCCCTCCTAGGGACTCAGAACTTTGCCTTCTCTCCACCTTCCAACCTCCAATCCCAGCACTTTAAACATAAATCAGTCCTTGAATATGTTGGCTAGGGTTGAGGCAAGGTCTGATTCCCTTGTGTTGGGTACCTCCTGGCAGGTGCGCCCTCTCCCACGCTGCTCAGGACCTGCTCTAGGCACACAGGGCACCTGATCTTTGTGTGTGCTCCTGCTGCAGTCTAGAAGCCCCAGGCCAGAAGGCAGCGCAGATGGTTTCACAAGGTTCTGGCTGTCTTGTCTTCTGCTCTCTTCTTCTCCCTTCCCCCACTTCTCTGGAAGAAGGAAAAGCAGCATCAGGGTCAGGAAGGTGGGGCAAGGCAGTTTACCAAGCATCTGCTATTTGCTAGACTCGTCCAGCGCCTCCCCTCTCTTCTCACTCAAGGGCTCCAGTTCTGACAGCATGACCCTTAAAGGGTCCCAAAGTGGAAGGAAAAGGACACAGGGCTCTCCAAACAGGCGGGGATCTAACGGGTCTCCCTTCTCTGAAATAACTGCTGAAGCCGCGGCAACTGGAGGACGTGGGGGGTGGAGGACTCGGCCTGGAAGTGGTGGCGGCGGGTTCGCGGGTAAAGGAAAGGCTCAATTGTGCTAAGGCTTCCTGCCCCGGACAACTCCCGGTGCAGCCCCGCCACCAAGCAGCTTTTCTGCAGCCCGCCGGCCGGGGAGGCGGGGCAGGAAGGCGGACGCAGCAAAGGGTTACGGGAATAGCTTTCCAATGACAAAGTCTGGAAGGGACCCATGCCTCCGCCCCTCTGCGGGTTAAACTGGCACAGTACAGGGGAGGACGATCCGCAGCTGGGCCTCCCCTCCCGCCTACCCCGGCCGCCGGTATAGCCCGCCAGGACCCGCCGAGGAGGCAGCCGGCGTGTGCCTGGGGCAGCGGGTCACCAGGCTCCGCCCCCGGCCGCTCTGCCGGGGGACGGCACTTTGTTCAGAATGCCGCCTCCTCCTCATTGTCGGGCTGGAGCCGGCGGCCCTGGTGAGCGACCCGAGGTCGGAGCGCGCGGCGCCCACTGAGAATTGTGCGAGGGGCGGGCTGGGCCCGGGGACCCCCCAGGAAACTTTCTGAACGCGAGGAGAGGACGCCCGGCCCCGCGCTGCTCGGGCGATGCGCGACTCAACACTGCGGCGGCGGCGGCGGCGCGGACCCCCAGCCCGGGACTGCAGGCGCGCGGGTGAGTGGCTGGCAGTAGCCGGCGTGTGGCGGAGGGCCTGAGCTCTGCGCCTGGCCGGGCTCTGTAGCCCGGGCCTGCGGGGCCAGCGGGGAGGAGAGTCCGGTACCCAACGGAGGCTGCCGGCTGGCGCGGGAGAAGCGCTTGAAGTAAACTCCCGGGATGCTAGTGGCTTCCCAGGAAGGGGTGTGCCTAGACGTCCCTTACGAATTGCGCGTCTGTCTTAGAATTGACTCTGCGGCGACCCTGCTCCAACCCTCCGACCCTCAGTTTCCCTTCCTACGAAATACCTGCTATTTAAAGTGTGTTGAGTCTTGTAATCAAAGGCACTAAGTGTCGCGTTACTACATAAATAGATACAGACACAAACACATAGACACAGACACACATTGACACAAACACACAGATACAGACAGACAGACAGACAGACAGACACACACACACACACACACACACACACACACACACACATCTTTCTCTGAAGCAGTTACTCTTCTCACATACCAGCAGGAGCTGGAGGAACAGCTGGGGCAGCTGACCTTGCTGGGCTGTTCAGATCTTACCGGGCTGTTACAGAAAATACGTGCTGGGCCCCCTGATGCGCTGGGAAGCGCCCTCGCGTCAATCTCTGCGAGGTTGTTTCTTCTGGCACTCACCCAGGGCGTCTGGGAGCAGAGAAAGTATCCCAGAGGAGAGAGAAGGGAGGAGAAAGAAGAGGCTGGGAAAATGTGAGGGAGGCACTCACCTGCGGGTGCAGTGCTTGGGCCTTTGTGGTCCCTTTTAACCTTCAGAATTTACCAAAACTGGCCATAGGGTAGAGAAAGAGAGCCAAGTTTGCAGATGGCTGGGGGTGGGGGCAGGAATTGGGGCGGACCTGAATGGTGGGTTGCCGGGGCAGTACGTTAGGGTGATGTCCACCCAGCAAAAGGGTCCCTTGTGCCCTGGAGCCCAACACCGGAAAATCGGCTGGTGAGTTCAATGGGACTTTGTTAGGACAGTCAGAGGGCGCAGCTGGCGCCGGCTTAAGGGAAGTACTGGATCCCCCTTTGATAACATGCTGTTTATCTGGCTTCCTGTTACAGCCATTGGGATACCATTGGCTGGTTCAAATTCAACACTGAGAAGCCTGTGGTCAGTTCACTCTGCAAAGGCCATGGACTTATGTAGGCTTTCATACCATGAACCATCTCTTAATTCCCTGAACTTGTGGTCCCCTGCTACTCACTTATAGTGGGGTAGGAGGACTTCAACAAAAAAATGGTCACTCCAGAACACTTGACTCCCTTCCTGCCAAAAATACTTGTTACTTCATCTTGCTTGTAAGTTGTTTTCTTCCTGCTTTGAATTTTGGTTGATGCATCTTTTCACTCTGGGTAGGGGACAGAGGGAATGGCTGCAATATGCATGTCTTTTGAGCTTTGTGAGGTCTTCCAGGGTTTCCAGAGGAAGTTCTGTTAGTTTGTAGTTCTCTATCTGGCTGTGCTGTCAACTCTGGATGTGAAAACAAATAGTTCCTCACTTCCTTTGGTCTGGATTTCATGTTTGTAAGATTGAGCCAGAAAGACAACTGCTGCTGGAAGAAGAGAGTTTTTTCAGTTCTGTGTGCCAGCCTCCAGGGGCCTTTACCTGAAGTTGCCAGGTAAGAGAGCACAGCCCTTAATCTGAGCTCCTCCAGCTGTTTGTCTGAACTTCCCTTGGGGGCAGGTCTTGCATTCTACATTGTAGTTTAGACCTGTGAAAATCTGTGTACAAGCCTTCCTTTTCCTGTGACTCAATCTGACCACCTGAAACACCCAGCACATAGTAGGTTCTTTATGTACTGGAGGGGATAGATGACTACAAAGGAAACAGTCTTCCAGACAGCTGGTCATTTACTCATATGAACTTACAGCAATGGTGACAGCACATACAGGTCCTATGCAAGCCCAAACCAGACAAATCCCAGCATAGACAGCTGGTCATTTACTCATATGAATTTACAGCAATGGTGACAGCACATACAGGTCCTATGCAAGCCCAAACCAGACAAAATCCCAGCATAGACACCAGGAAGTGGGTAAGAAATCCCAACCCAGCATAAGGAACTTTTGGCAATTGATGGCTGCTAGGAGCAGGAGAGACCTTGTCTTATAGGGATGGGACTCTTGGTGGGCCCAGTGGATGAACCCACACTGAAGGACATTTGGAGACCCAAATCAGGCTTTTTAAGCCATATAATATATATGAGAGTACATATAGTATAAATTGGCCAGGGGGTGCTGGGGGAAGGTGCTGATAGGGAATTAGATCTAAATACCATCAAACTATACTGTATGAAATTTGCAAAAATTCAATAAAAAAGTCAGGTATGGTGGCACATCCCTTTAATCCCAGCACTCAGGAGGCAGAGGTAGATGGATCTCTGTGAGTTCAAGGCCAGCTGGGGCTACAGGGAGACCTGCATCAAAAAGACCA